ATATTCATTAGCTAAGGCACTTCCCACAGATGTTTTTGCATGGGCTGACCACAGTTGTTGATTATATATTTCTTATGTAAAGTACTTCCACTGAATGTTTTTTGCTCAGATGGACTACACTTGGCATAATCCAATGTAATCCAAGGTGCTTTCCCTGGATGTTTTTGCTTGGGTGGACAACACTTTGCCTAATCCCATGTATCCAAGGTGCTTCTTCTGGATGTTTTTTGCCCAGGCAAACCACATTTGTTGAACTCAAATTCTTACGCAAGGTGCTTCCACTGGATGGTTTTGCCTGGCTGGACTGCACTTGGCATAATCTGAAGTATCTCAAGGCACTTCCCCTGGATGTTTTTTGCCTGGGTGGACCACACTTGTTGGTCTCTATATCTTACATAAGGCATTTTTCACTAGATGTTTTGCCCAGATGGATCACACTTGGCATAATCCGATGTAATCCACAACACTTCCCTTGACATATGTATAAGGAAAAGTGGTTGCATACACACAAGACTTTCCACGTTAGTTAAAACCGTACTGATTCATGTCGTAGTTATCCAGCACTTCCTACACTGATCCAGTGCTGTACATTTCTTTATTGTCTTCAGTGGTGCCTGTCAATTTAGTTTTGTCCCAATTGTGTTACTGTATTGATTGCTGTGTGAAGAATGTACCTATTCCAGAAGTAGTGCTGTACCCCCACTGGTGTGCTTTCTTTTCATATTCTAGTAAACTTGTTCTTTCAATGTGGTCTCTTTCCGCTTGACTTGAGATTGATATGCCTTCACTGGAAGTTAACATTTTCTTATTCTGAAAATGTATTTCTGATATGTATGTCTTCTCACCCATTTCCCACCAGTGTTTATGGTTTGTGTCTGCCAATTCTCAAAAGTGAGGATTGTTCTGGAGTAGGAAGGAGAGTTAGCTGGGCCAGTATAGATGGCCCAGCATGATTGGTCAGCACGTTCTGAAATGGCACAGAACTGATGGGATTTAAAGACTGGTGAGCTGTAGTGAAATTTTTTTTAGCAGTGCTTAGGGGCCAGACCAGGATCGAGATAGCTTTGGGTGAGAGAATTAAGTAGCTATCAGAAATACATTTTTCTAGAGTAAGAAAATGTGAACTTTCATGTTAGCAATAAAAATAATTTTTTCAATTTGTAATTTTTAAATTTCATCTCCTTCATTTTTAGGACCTTCTTAACAAATAATAAAAGATTTTTTCTAAACAAATAGTAAAAGTTTTTTTCAGTAAAACATTATTTATCCTAAACAGTCTCAGGCTCATAACAGTTTACATCTGTTTTCATTTAATTTTGTTGTTCTGTAACCGTCTCGCCATGGGCATCTTTTTTTTCTGCACATATCACAGGGTTTTAGTGAGTTACATATAAAAAATTTAATTAAACTATTTACTTATCATGGTATATGAAGAAATTTGTTATCTAAATTATTAGCTACATTTTTATTTTAATAGTATTTAAGTTCTTAGTTTTATAAGGCAATATTTAAAAAATTCCTGAATTTCCTCTAGTAAGAGAGTTGTGACATTTTCTCTCTAGGGATCCATTCTTCTCTATGAAGAAGTATCATTAGGATGTCATCACTTAGACAAAGCAAATGTTATTTGGCTATAGAGCCATCAAATAGAAAATCAGACCCCTCTTGTTATGTTCACCTGTCACATCCTCTCTCTCAAAAATTGCCAGTAGTTCTCTCTGACTTTTAATACTATATCATGTATGACCAATAGAAAGCAAAATTTAAGTATAAACAGATGTATACTGTTAAGAGTTTAAATCTATTTAGTATAAAAAATGTATTTTCATGTTACAAATCATTTAGAAAGAAAAAAGGGTAATTTAGATTTATTTAGAATTTTTGGTGGTTACGAGGTCAGTCAAATTGACCAACCTTGTATAGGGTTAGGGTAGAGAAAATAACAGATAAACTATAAAGTTTGACTAAAAAAAAAGTTAGTTTATTTACATAATCTCTAAAACCTCCCAAATAAATTTCTGAGATATTTTAGATGAAGAAAAGTATTTTTAATATTAACATGAAAATCACTTTACACTCAGAATAGAAAAAAAAAAAAAAAAAAAAAAAA